TGTTGATAAGATTAGAGAGGGAGTTTAAGGTAAACTTGAATTATGGAGGTCAACCTTATTTTCTAGAGATTTTGGTTTGAGTAGATCTAAAATCGAAGATATGAAATATAATTTTATTAGTAATAGATTTAGTGGGGTTGCCAGGTACCAAGTCCTGAATGAGAAAAGTGGAGGGTTGCTTTAGATAGTCGACAGCCAGCGTAAAACTTGTCGAATAATAATGACATGAATCATTTAATAAATTGTGTTAATGCTAGGGCATCCCATGGAAGCGACGCGCTGTATGGCCTGAATACAGTAACAAGTGTGCAAGGGCCGCTGCATCGGCGTCCGGGTGCAGTGTTAAATAGGCAAGCCACATCAAGGACGGATGTAGGTAAATAAGCTAGTCCATGAAACTAAAATTAAGATAGGAATTTGGAACATAGGTTCCCTTACAGAAAAATTAATAGAATTAATATATATTATGATTCATAGGAAGATAAATATTTTATGCATTCATGAAACTAAATGGGTTGGAGAGAATGCTAAGAAAATTGATATTTTAGGATTTAAATTTTAGTATTCGTGTAGGAGTCGTACTAGAAATGGTGTAGGTATTATTATAGATAAGAGTTTGAAGGATAATGTTATAAAAATTAATAGGATTGGAGATAGAATTATAACTTTAAAGATTATTGTTGATGATAAGATTGTTAATATTATAAGTGCTTATACTCCTCAAGTATGTTTGAATATGAGTTCTAAATTAAATTTTTGGAATGACTTAGAAGAGTTATTACAAAAGATACCTCTTGAAAAAGAGTTTTTATTGGAGGAGATTTAAATGAACATGTTGGTATAGAGGTAGATGATTTTAAAAGCATACATGTTGGCCATGATTTTGGAACGACAAATGAAGGTTGTAATACCATATTAGATTTTTGTTTAGCTTATGATTTTCAATTGCTAATACCTTATTTAAGAAAAAGAATGAGCATCTCATCACTTATAAAAATGGATATAGTACAACCAAGATTGACTATTTTCTTATAAGAAAATTAGATCGTTTAGATTGCAAAGATTGTAAAGTTATTCCGAGTGAAAATTTATGTATCAAACATCGTTTATTAGTTTTGAACTTTAAGATAAAGGGACATAAAATAAAAATAAAGTAAAACGATATTTTAGGATTAGATGGAGTCATTTAAAGAATATTAACAAAAAATATTTTTGAGTGGAAGATTTTAGATATTAAGATTTTATCTGTGCATGAGGATGCTAATGTTATGTGGGAAAAAATGGATAGTGATATTAAGAATATTGCAAAAGATGTGCTTGGAGTATCAAAGGGAAAAACTCTTAATAGTAAAAATAGTTGGTGGTGGAATCCAAATGTGCAAGAAAAGATTAAAAATAAGAATATTTGTTATAAAAATTGGTTTAATTTTTAAAATTATGATAATTGGGAAATATATAAAAAGGCTCGTAAGGAATCTAAGAAAGAAATTTATGATGCAAAGACTTTAGCTTTTAGTGATTTATATAATAGATTATATATTAAGGAGAGAGAAAGATATATGTATAAGTTAGCCAAACAAAAAGCAAAAAGATAGGAGTAGTAAGGATTTAGTTCAAGTGAAGTGTATTAAGGGTGAATATAAAAAAAATACTTTTCTTAGAAGATGATATTCAACAAAGGTGGATGAGATATTTTGCTAAACTTTTTAATGAAAATTGTGAAAATAAGATTGATTATAATGACCTTAACACCCTAAATAAAAATAAAGATTTCTGTTTTTATCGGTGTATTAGTAAAAAATCGAAGTTAGAGATGTTTAAAGAAATGAGGGTGGAAAAGTTGTTGGACCTGATGATATTCCAATAGAGGTGTATGAAATGCTAGGAGATGAAAGGGAATTTATTGTCGCTAAGCTAAACCCATTACATGTGAAATAACTCAATGGGTTGAAAGCAATTGGGACTAAAAAAAGTACGGAGATGGGCCTGTAGAGGCAAGCATGTGCAACGTCTCTGTCATAGAAGGGAAAGGACGTGAAGAGAGAACTGAAGATGTGTATACTCAAAGATTCCTGTCTAAAGCCCATGATCTTATTTTGCTTTATGGATGTCTTCACTAGACATTTGGCAAGAGGATATGGCCTTGGTGTATGCTTTTTGCTGACTGATCATTCTTCTTGTTGATAAGAACTGGAGAGGGAGTTAAGTAAACTTGAATGTATGGAGGTCAACATTAGAGACTAGGTTTCACTGAGTAGATATAACACCGAATATAATGGAGTGGTAATTTGATAACTAGTATTGACCTAGTGAGAGGAATCGTGCACTTTCGACAGCAATTAAAGAGTACACGTTTTAGATATCTTGGATCTATTGTTCAGAGTGATGGTGAAATAGATGGGGATATTATCAGCAGAATTCAAGTTGGATGGTTGAAGTGGAGGAATGCATCGGGCTTGTTGAGTGATAGAAAAGTACCCCTCAAACTTAAGGAAAAATTCTATAAGATGGTAGTGAGGTCTGCAATGCTTTATGGCGCTGAATGTTGGCCATTAAAAGAGAAGCATGATACTAAGTTAAGTGTGGCAGAAATGAGGATGCTCAGGTGGATGAGTGGCTTTACCCTTAGAGATAGGATACGAAATGAGCATATACGTGAAAAGGTTGAAGTAGCTCCAGTAGAAAATAAGATCAGAGAGAGTCGTCTTAGATGGTTTGGTCACATAAAACGACGGCCTTCCAATGACCCGATTAGGAGAGTATAGGTATTAGATTTGACTTATGTTAAGAAAGGTAGAGACAGACCTAAAAAGATTTGGTTAGAAAATATTAGGAATGACATTTCTTTATTAGATTTAAACGAGAATTTGACCTTTAATAGGACACAATGGAGAAAAAAGGATTCATGTAGCCGACCCCACATAGTGGGATAAAGGCTTGATGTTGTTGTTGTAGTAGTAGTAGTAATAGATCTAGTGGGGGATTGTGACTTTGGGCGGTCAAGTCATTAATAAGAGTACATGTTTCAGATATATTGGGTCTACTTGTCAGAGTGATAATGAAATAGATGGGGATAATATTAGTAGAATTAAAGTGGGATGGCTGAAGTGGAGGAATGCATCGAGCTTGTTGTGTGATAAAAAAGTCTCCCTCAAACTTGAGGAAAAATTCTATAAGATGGTGGTGAGACTTGTAATGCTTTATGGTGCACAATGTTGGCTATTAAAAGAGAAACGTAATATTAAGTTAAGTGCTGAAGAGATGAGGATGCTCATGTGGATGAGTTAGAGACATGATACGAAATGAGCATATGCGTAAAAAGGTTGGAGTTAGCTCCAGTGGAAGATAAGATTAGAGACAGTCGCCTTAGATGGTTTGGTCACATAAAACAACAGCCTTCTGATGACCCGATTAGGAAAGTTGATGTATTAGATTTGACTTATGTTAAGAAAGGTAGAGGTAGACCTAAAAAGACTTGATTAAAAAAATATTAGAAATGATATTTCTTTATTAGATTTAAATGAGAATTTGAGTCTTAACAGGACATAATGGAGAAAAAAAGATTCATGAGGCCGACCTCACGTAATGGGATAAATGCTTGATGTTGTTGTTGTTGCATAAATTGCTGCCAGAGTTTCCTGGTATGACTCATAAATTTGAAACTTTTATTTTTAGCATAATTCCTTTGCTCTTACATATTATTATCAACATACTTCCTTCTCCAATTATTTGGCTTACTTTTTGTTTTCAAAATTTCTTTGAAAATAATTGTTAACCAAGTCACTATAGTATCACTGTTAACTTTATAAAAATTTAATGTTAATGTTTTTTTTTTTTTTTTTCATTTGCACAAAAAAAATTTACGTATATCCATCTTTATCAAAAATAAACTCCATTGCTTTTTTTAATCAATCTATATGTTTACCAAATTAATTTTGAATTATACTCATAGCACAATTTCCTTTTTAAACTCTCCTGAATAATATTTCATTTCGTTTTCATTTTTTGTTTAATCAATCCATATGTTTACAACTTTTGCTCAACAAAAAATTACAATTTTCCCCTCATCGCCTCTCCTCTTATAAAATGCAATACCTTATTTTTTAGGCAATTATTTTCTTACTCTTAAGAGATGCAATCATAATTACTACTCTATGTTGTTTGGTTAAACCCTCTTTTAAAATCATTTCATAGTCTTTGCAAAAGTATGATTTCATTCGGTTGAAGTAAAAGATTCGATCTGTGATGTAGCAGCTCCATTTTTGTAAGTGACTATATGTTCTTATTTCTAAAGAGTGTGTTTACCTTTACAAGAACATAAGCTAATGTGAAATCATATTATTTTCTTCGTTATTTTTTCTCATATTCCATTGTGCCATGAATTCTCCTCCCATACCGCATATATATGCATACATCTGTGTGAATGGGCTCTTTCTTGTAATACAATTTAAAACTATCTTCTGTCCAATTTTAGAAACTGCATTAACCATATTCATAAATGATTTCATTGATAAGTTTTTTAATATAAATCATCCAATTATTTACGCTAGTCACCTCAATATTTTTTCTCCCAAACTATTATTCATTAATATCCCAATTACATTATTTGTTAATCTTTTCAACTTACACCAGCTTATAACTTAACTAATGTTATAGGATTTTTTTCATTTTCATTTTCTTTCTTATGAACAAATAATATTTATTCTTCTATTATTCTGTATTATTTAATTCTCTTGTCTGCCTATTTAAAGTCCTTAATGATAGTTTTAATGCTAGCCAAAGTAATGTTAGTGTGATCATTAATAAAATAAATAAAACTTAGATGAGCGGATTTAGGACGTAGATCTCAGATATCTGAATGGACCAAATCAAAATGAGCTCGACTATTAGAAGATTTAAATGTAAGAAATTAGACGTGATGGTGTTTTACTCTTCAACTGTACTACAATTGTGTATGTTCGCAAAATGGTTAAGTCCCTGTGCTGATTTCCTTATTCCAGGTGGTCACGAGCTTAGCAAGTCTACTGGAAATGCTGGCGGAAGACTGGCATGTGGTGCGTTCTCATTCCTCTACCTGCTTTTAAAACTCTTTTAAAACTATATTTTTTATTTATATTTTAACATGAAATAAAATATTTTTTATAGTTTTAAATATGTATTTTTATATTTTAATTGAAAATTGAATAAGTTTTTTTATGTGAGGATAATAAAATTTTATCAAAATACCACTAACATCAACTTATTTAGAATAAAATTAGTTTCATATTTCTTGCTGCTTCCTTATGTAAAATTGGTTTAATATTTCTTCCCTCAGGCATAATTGGACTGCAGGCTTGATTGGTCGTGTCCTGCCTTCTATTTTACTGGCTGGTAATATTGTGCTGTGTGTTAAATAATAAGAAGCCAAAGTTTTTGGACAAATGCTATTGGCCTTACCAACTGCCTAAACTATATCCACTCCTTTTCTGTTATATTTTCCTCTATGGTGAGGGCTTCTACTGTGCTGAATGTCGGCCTGAGAGAAACATTGTAGTGATTCATGTGGGAATGTATGTACGGTGTAACTCTCTCTATATACAACGCCAAAATTTTATTTTATTTTATAAATTATCATTAAACTATTTATGTGTAAGATAATATCACTATATTTTTAATAACTTGATAAAATATCAAACATAATATTGTTTTCTGGGGTTGGGATAGTTGACATGTCTAGCATTTAAGTTTTTATATTTGATATTTGAATGGTTAAATTATATTAGGAATAATATTAATGTTAGTTTACTTAAAATAAAATGTATTTTTTATGTATGTTATGATATATATTGATAAATATAAATATTTAATCTTTCAATATATGTCTACATAAGAATATCTTAATTTCTGATAAACATTTACTGTATAATTAATTTATATTTATATTTGATCTATTATCAAGGCGATTAATGTGTATTTTGCTGGGGTTACTTATTTTTATTATGTCAAATTTATCAAACAAACTCTAAAAAAGTTATAAATATGGCTCTATTTTTTAAATGAGATAGGTTTAAGAGTTAAGAGGTTTGAAGAATAATCTAAGGCTTCTACATTTGGGATAAATCTTTTATTGATTTTAAAATAATTTTCTAATAAAAAAAAATTAATTCAAGATGTTTTTTTGTTTTTTAATTTAACTAAAAACTTGTTTTAGAAATCAATAAAAAAAAACTAAATGAAGTCCACCTAAATCTCTAAAACTATGATGAAGGATAAGTTCTTTCATCTCAAAGTAAATTCTTCCTAAATAGAATGTTGAGCTCCTCTTATAACATCAGAAGAGGCATCAATAAAATGATATTGATTTAAGTCCTTCACGGCTGATGAAAGATTACAAGTTTGTTGAGAAGATTGGATTCAACTTATGAGGATTGGTCGGTATATGCTACCAATGTGTTAAAACATTAACAAACATGAAAATCATTAAGATTGAAAGATCAATTAAGTTCGACCGGGGTTGCAATATGATGTCATAAATAATATATTTAATTTTTTTAAAAATAATATCAAAATGTAATAGTAATGATGTAATAATTATCTAATGATGCATATTTATGATTAAAACATAAATAGAATTTATACACAAATAATATTATTAGTAATTTAAATTTAAATATCTATAATTTTAAATTTGGATTCATATTTAATATAAATTTAATTCACAATAAACTTATAAATTTAATTATAAATTAAGTACTAATTTATATATTATATTTTAGATGTAAGCTTGCACTTAATTTCTATAAACAAGTTCACATTTATAAATTGGATAGAATATCACCATATTAGATTCACTATATATTATAAAACAAATAAAACCACAATAATTTCCATTGTACACTATTTAAAAAATTTAAATTTTAAATATTAATTTAAAATTAAAATATATATTTAACCTAAAAAAAGTAAATATTATTCATATTTTAAATTTAATTTAAAATTTCTACTTTATATATATATATTAATATAATATGTAGTGAACATGATAACTTAAAATATAGTTTTTTAGTCTCACTCATTTGAGAACTCTCTTTTATATTGTTTATTTATATACCTTTTTAGGTATTTTATATATTAAATGGTCCAAATTAATCAGACATTTTTTTGGAAATCGGAGTCGCGGTTCACTCCGGTTTTTGTCCGGTCCAATGCTAAACCGGTTATTTATTTTATTATATTAATATAAATCTGAAGCTATTCATAACAAATTTCCAAGAGTATACCAGTCATTTAAAAAAAAAAATGAAGCTAGCCAAATTCAATCCACTTCGAGATGGGTATCATGGGATCCCTACTCCCGCCGGCGAGCTTAATGACCTCACTGCAGCCTCCTCGGATCTTCCTCTTTTCTCCTGCAATCAGAACGACGGCCATTCTCGTAGCTTCCAGTTTATCATTCTCCCAGTCTCGATATGCCCTGGTTGATCTACTCTGCTCCCTGAAACCTCACCGCCAACGCTTCCAACTCTCCGTTTCCGCCATCCCGGAAGAAGAAGGCTCAGACACCCTAATTCAAGACCTTCAAGTACCTGAAGCTTGGCTGGTCCCTTCCAAAGCCCAAGAGGTGAGTACAATTCATAATTCATAAAAAAAGAAAATTGCCTCTTTTGATTTTTAGAGATAACTTTCCTGATTGGTGATTGCAGAAGAAAGTAAAAACACACAGTAGGAATAGGATTAGCTTATTTTATTTGATCATAAACTTACTACAGCTACAGCATGTTCCTATTTGTAGAGCCATAGGTGTTGTTGTTTTAAAGGATGTCAGACACCCTTTTGAACATAGGGCGAAATAGTTTAGATGGTTGTAAACTGAGGACTGTGATGTTTATTAATATTGTATATTTTTATCAACTCCCCTTAAATGGATGGTCCTAGCTATCATCATCAATTTATTCCTTAAATAGTTGAAGAGCTTGGTCAGAAGTGTTTAGGTGAAAATGTTTGAGAGCTGGTCCTGAGACGCAATATGATGAGTTGTAACATTTTTTGAGTTGATGTGGATAAAGAGAAAATTGATCCATATGTTTGGTATGAGTACGAAATACTAGATAATTTGCAAGAGCTAGAGTTGATATTTGTTGCAAAATGAAGGTTTTAGGGATATGTGTGAATGCCAAATTCTTAATGTCTACGGCTACGATCGCTGCTTAGGGTCCATGGATGATCTTGCCACTATGGTTTATTTCTTAATGTAACAACCTGGTTGAACCTTTTAGCATAGTCTATGCTTGCTGTTGCTTGTAGCCTAGTGCAACAACAAAGACTTATATTGTGCGGTTGTGCCATCCAAATTGTATGTAATTGTAAATGTCTATTTGTTACCCAGGAGGTTTTGAGCTGGTGAAGGAGGTACTAGAGTCCAAGTTCCTTGTTCCTATAGAGCTTAAAACACTTTGAACATTGCTTTGCACCAATTCGGATCTTGGAAAACAACATAGTTGCAGGTTGGGTCACTAAATGTGATAGTGTGATGGAGACTGAGGAATTGTTTTGGTTTGAGATTTCTTGATTTGAAGTGAGTTATCATTGGATTGTTGATTGAGATAGTTATGTTCTCTTTGGGAGTGTTGGACTATGGTGAGGAGGAAGTGATAGTAAGATTAGCTTGGGGATTGGTTTATTTCATCACACGCAACAGCTATGGCAGGTTCACAATATCTAAAACCTTGTCAAGGTCTTAGTGTATGAGATCAAATAGGGTTTTAGGTTTGCATTATTCTATAAAATATATAAAAATCTAAAAAATCTAATCGTGTAACATCTTTGTAAAATTTTTGCTGAGAAATTATCACTGGAAAGAAATTTAATGCTACATAAACAAACTGAATTAATCATTTAAAATTTTGTAGGCTTGGATCACATTAGTAATATTATTGTCTCAACTTAATCATTAGGATACTTTCATAAAGTATTTTTTTCATTGTATACAAATTATATTTAGTTTTGAGAGCACGAGCATTTATTTTTTGCATAAATCTGTAGAATTGAGAGATTGTGAACATGGTTGATGTTGAGCTTTCCAATCACCTCCAATGTTTTGAAAAGCTTTGGTTAGAAAAAACTTTCAGGGTTGCCTAAGTTCGTGTAGGATTATATATTAGGGTTATACCCGCCAAGTGTAGAAGAATACATTGGTTTGCACTTACCTGAAAGGAGAGTGTGTTGGTGTATGACTTCTTCATCCTGTCAAAGAGATTTTTGTGCAAGGAAATAGGCATTGATATTAAAAATATTAACACCTTGATCTTAATTCAAGTTGCCCTTTTAAGATGAGTTTGCAACAAGCACTCAGCCTCTTTCACATGAACATGAACCTCTGCTTAGACATCTAGCAAACTTTTAGAAGTTTCGAAGCATTCCTCCTCATTAACGTAAATTCTTATTCCAATCCTCTTAGAACATTCTATTGGTTCTTTCTTAGCTTAGCTTAGCTGGAAACCTTATCTTGGCCTTTAGCATTGTTTGAATATGATTTAACCTTAGAGTAACTATAGGTTCACATGGGATATAGAAATGATAATAGGAGAAGCTGATTAATCATTCAACTCCAAATTAACTTGAGTTCAAATTAATTATCTTTAAATAGGTATAACCTTAGCTAGCCTCAGGGTAGACATCTTTTCATACTTGATCCCGATTGAATTTGTTGTATCCAAATTTATTTGTTGATAACACTCTATCTTACTAGAAAATTATTGACGATTATAGCTATAAAAATGAGGAAAGTTAGTGAGTATCGAGAATTAGCAGAAAGCTATATTATCTTTATAAATATTCTCATATGCATAAACATTAAAAATATCTTCTCGCTCTTTACTTATAAAGGTTAAGAGAGCTACAAGAAATGCTACACCTAGAAATTTTTTTTTAAAAAATGGCATATAAAGTACTGATACAGAATTACACAGATATGTGACCAAGTTATATGATGCATGCATAGATCCCTATCTATAAGTGGCTCCTCCTCTCAAGTGAGTACCTTTGACGAGTCTGTGAGGGAGTTTATGTTGGACGAGTTTTCAAAATTGGACTTGTAGGGCTAGTATTTGAAGGCAAGTCCCTACTAATGATAGGCCAAACTCTATGAATGAGAATCATGTCCCTATGGAAGAGGGGTGAGTCCTCTGAGTAAAAGTCACTGTGAGCCAGGGATGAGTTTAGTTAGTGAGGTCACAGTCATAGGCTTTCGAGGTGTGCATTTTCTGTAGCTTGAATAAGAATGTCTGTGGTAGGCAAGTGGCTATTTGTCAAAATATGTTAGAACCAAAATAAAAAAAGGTAAAATGTGATTAAAGCACATGATGATGCAGGACTAAATGTGAAATGCTATTAGTTCATTTGGATTTTACACAACTCGTGATTAGAATAATCATAGAACAAGACTACTTACAATTTAAAACAATGAATCAAAACAAATAGGGGTCACACCCACTTAGGCCAAATTACGTAACAAGAGATTTGAAGCATTCTTAATAAATTAAGAAAACAACACAATAACAGTAGTTTCAAAATAATCCCTAGTCTAACAGCAAGAATTAGTAAGCATAAAGGCACGCTCAAAAACCCTACGTTTACTAAGCTTAGCAGTAGCGGAGAGAGTCGTCCTTTGTGATTACAATCAAGCACAAGATCCAGTTAGACTAAGAAATATAATGAAAAGGAAAAAGGATAACCTCTTGTCAAGGGGTAGTGGAGATCCTCCACTCGATGCCTTCGAAGTGCTCGTCAATAGCTTCCACTAAGGTGTCCAGAACGCGCTCCAAATAGTCCTTGACGATATGATCAATCATTGGGTTCACGTCGAAGAAAGTTGATCGTAGGATATCGGTGAAACCGTCCTCGTCCCAAGTCAAGCCGTATTCAGTAGTTGGATCTGCCATTCATGGGGGCTAGGGAATAACTCTCCTTCGATCTTGCTAATGTTCTCGACTGTCGCCGAAGAGAAAGAAGTTTCTCTTGCACGTGGAAAGGAAATAATCCCCAAGTTCCCTTCCCAAAAATCTGAAAACAGTTTCAGATTTGAGCCAAAATCTGAGAGAAATTCCAGATTTCTATGTGTAGTAGGTAGGGAAATTGGAGGGAGAACTTTAGCCTCAATTCAAGTGGGGTATTAAAGATGGAGAGCAGGGGTTGGAGAGAGAGAGAGGGGGCGGGTAGGAGAGAGGGGCCTGCGGTTTGTAGAGGAGGTAGGGATTTAATTGGCTTCCCAAAAGAGAGGTCCACTTATGGGAAGAAATTAAATAGAAGGGGGAAGGGGAAATTCGGCCAAGAGAGAATTGGGGGAGATTGGAATTATTGCCTAAAGCAGGAGCTTTAGGAAATATTTCCTAATCCAAGCCGCGGGGGGGGCGGCATTGAGGAGAAGGGGAGGGATTTGAGGAGAGCAATTAATGCTACTTGATTTGGTTTTGAATATTAGGAAAGGGCTTTTAAATCCTATTTGAATTTTAAATTTAAATAAGTTTTAATTAGGAAACTTGCCAATAATAGAATTCATAAATTAGGAAATAATTCAAATTCAAATTAATTTGGATTTGAACTAAAGGAGTTTCCTAATTTAGGAGCATCTCAAATGGCAAGTGTCATCACAAGAAATAAAGGGGGAACTCAAGGGAGGGGATGGAAGGGGCCGGTCGGTGGCTAGGGGAATTGGGGCCGGTGGCCTAGGGGCTCGGGTAGGGGAAGGGGCCGAGGGTTTTGAATGGGGATGAAGGCTCGGGTGTGGAGAAAGGGGGAGAAAGGTGGCCGGTGGTGGTGGGAAGGGGAAGGGAGGAGAAAGGGAAGGAGAACCAAGAGCCACCGGTGGTGACTGTTGGGTACGACGGGTGGTCTATCCTAGGCTCCACCAAGCTCTCTATCTCTCTCTCTCAAGCTCTCTCTTAAGCATCAAGAACAAGTGTAGGAAAATTCTCATAAACATTCATTAACTTCAAAACACAAGGCATGAGGCTATAAATAGCCAAGTACACGGACTCAAGAAAAGAAAAGACAATCTTGCTCTTTGGGCTTACATACGATATTCCCCACTAAAAGGGTACAACAGGAAAAATAATAAAAACAAATACATGACACATGCAAATAGAAAAATACACGAATAACATTTTTTATTTTTTTATTTTTTTTAAATACATGAATAACATAAATACTCAGAAATATAAGGACTCGATCGTGGCCGTAGATCGGCGGCCACGCCTCTGATAAACCTTCCACGAGCTGATGTCCCCATCACATGACCTATACAACCATTGAATGGTTAAAAACTCACTTGGTTTGTTCGAAGTTGTATGCTATTTAATCTCATGGGGTATAAAGTTTTCTTGATAGGTGATTGAAAATTTATGTTCCCTTTCACCAAGACATTTACAATTTTTCAATTGAGATACATTTTCAAAAGTTCTTTTCAAACTCAAGTGGTTACAGACTTTGCTTTCCTGCTTGGTTCACAAGTTGGCACCTCACTAGATTGCTGTAAGAGCAATTGGAAGAGCTGTCGAAAATGCCCATTTTGTGCTGCAAATAGTGTAGAGAGTGCGTTGAGCTAATTTGATCTCAGCGTAGTTGGCTTTGAAAGTTTCTATGTTCGTTTTATTCTAGTTCTTGCCTTTGCTTTTCAAACATAACTCAAACCAAATCAACTACATTTCAATTTTCTTATTCTAGTTCAATTTTTTTGGTAGAACTTATCTCAGCCTACCTAAATTAGAGCATTGTCTTCCTTTACAACCATCTGAAACAATAAGTTTCTGTAATTTTTACTTCCCGTTGTCTTATATTGCCCAGTGTAACAAAGTCATTACCAATTAAAACCATGGTAGGACTTCCGAATTTACAGGAATCAGAGTGGCTTAGAATAACTCTCCATAAATGGCTGGATGATGAGTACTGCCCTGAGCCAACCAATTTTGAAATCAGCAAGATTGCTGCACAATCATACTATGAATCTCTAATATCGAAGGAGACCGATCTGGGTGAGATTCTACTCAAAATGGTGAGACAATTGGAGACTATATCATTCCAGCAAAGCTTCCATGGACCTTTCTCATCAGCAAATGCCGCAATTCATTTAATTACTTAGCGGATAGATTCTACAGTAGAGCAATAATTGAATATGCAGCTCATCAGTAATAGCACCAATATGCTAATGGATACACTGCAAATGAGAGAGAAATCAGCATTTTTGATCTATAGAAACTCTTAATTATTTTGTGGCTTGACCATTCTAATGACCACATGTGATCTCTCTGTTTCATACATGGTTACATCAACTCTGTTAGTGGTAAATTGCTGCTATTTTCTTGTTGTTTTATTGCAATTTTGATGGTAAGAACTTTGTACAACTAGTTATCCTACAATGTGATAGCTATAAGACAGTTGTGCGGTTTTTTCGACGGAAAAATTTTATAATATGCATAGTAGCTTTTAAAATATTGGTTTTCTCAATAATTTCGTAGCTAATTTTACATACAAATGCAAACCCTTACAGGCCGAAGGCATGTGATACCTTCGTGTTGCTCTCGAGGTAGCTCGCCATTATTGTATGATACTTTTCTTGTTACATGCTTGAAGATTGTAGTATTATTCTTTTGAGAAGCCAGTGTCTTTTTAGCTGTCAGGTTCTATGTCATATTCTGCCTTTCATGAAGCTAGAAACTATACTTATTCATGAGAAATTATTCTGTGCGGACTCCGAACGTAGAGGATTATCCGGATGTTGCGTATGGACTACGTATGAACTGAGTATGGACTGCATATGGACTGCGTATTTGTAAACATGCAGCAAATATTAAGCCAATTATTTGTTGTGAGTATTTAATGAGTATTTTTTTTGCATATCTACAAATACGCAGTAAATATGCAGTCCATACGCAACATCTGGACGATCTTATATGTTCGGAGTTCGCACAGAATAATTTCTCTATATTCATGGATAAGTTAAACAGAAAAATGAAATTACAATCTTAGGAAGTTGTTGACTACTTTTTGGAAGCAAAATTAGCTTTCTATGGTTTTAAACTCCATTTTACAAAGTTCAGAGTTTGGTTTTCATTGAAAAAGTAAGCCCAAAAATAACCTTGAGCTTCCTAAGTCACTTCCTCGAGGCATTTGATTGTTGGTGGATACTGAAGCTTGATTTAGAAAATGATGATATAATTTTACTCATTTTAGCCATAAAAATATTATTGATATATCATTAAAAAATTTATCTTGATCGGGCACAAATCTCGAGGAAAATTTGAGTTGGAAACTTCCTAAATTAAATTTGGGACCATCCGAACTCTGATTCAGCAAACTTATAGTCGGGCTCCTGAACTGTGCTCCTTGGTGTCTCTCTTTTGATTGGTACGGTCTGCACCCTAGGTGCCATAAAAGTGGTTGACATGCGATAAGAGCATGTTCCAATGCCTCTTTTACTACTCATATGTATTGACTTCTTATTCTCAATCATCTATGCCAACTCCATTGCCTCTCCCAGATCACAGGGTCTTGCCACCCGTACTACTGCTATCAAATACTGCCTCTGATAACCTCCCTACATATCCTGACAGAAGCTCAAATATTTCCTAATACTCCATTACAATGCCCTCCTGTGTCAAGACAAAGAATTGCTCGTAGTACTCCCCATCCTTGAATTATAATCGCTCAAACAATCATTCATATCCCCTTCTTCCTCCAATTCTAGCTTGTTTATCCTCTTCTTCACATTCCCTCCTTCCAACATACTCCCAACCCATCCCCCGGAATAGGGACCAAGTGGGGTTTTTCCTCCTAATCCTCTAAAATTTTCACCTCCGCGTGTTCCCTCGGCATATCATCCTCCTGATTTCTTCTTGCTCATGACGGAACCTTTTTAGCATGAAGCTCCAACACCCGATTCATCATTTCCTCTGTGTTCTCAAACATTCCATCTATTGTTGAAATACGTTCATTTACTGATCCCACTTCTGCTCGTAGTTGCCCTACTTCCACCTCCAACCTTTCTTCCAACACTTCAAATCTTTTTTGGTCATTATTATCGAGATCAAGGTCTTCGCGGCAAAAAACAACAACTTTGACATGGTTATGCCCTCCAAACAACAGAAATTAAGCGGATGATAAGGAAGATCGAGGCAGAAATCAACAACAAAAACCTGGATTTTGGTCCAAAAATGTGCTATGATGCCAATCTAATGTCTTGAACCACAAAAATCATTGAATAATCTAGGTGAAAAACAACAACTTTGACGTGGTTATGCTCTCTAAACATCAGAAATTAGCGGATGATAAGGAAGATCGCGACATAAATCAGCAACAAAAACCTGGATTTTGGTTCATGAATGTGCTTTGATGCCAATTTAATATGTCTTGAACCACAAAAATCTATGAACAATAGTAAATTTTAGCAAAACAATAGAATTTTCTTGCTAGGACATCAAATAGCAAGAAGTAAGATACAATTGATCCTCTTTCGAGAGGAGGATCTTCTCTTCCAAATCCTAGATGCCGGTAGGATCCCTTACAAAAGAGAACTACAACACTCAAGATAAAATTTTGTATAATAATAAAATGAACCCTGCTATGAACTTAAATAGGTTCCCTCCCTCTCTCCTAAATCACCCCCTTCCTAATATATCTCCCTTCTTTATATAAAAATAATTCAATTTGGAAAATATCTCATCAGGAAAGGATTTCCTAATTTAGCCCCCTTCATAATATATCTCCCTCCTTTATTTGAAAATAATTCAATTAGGAATGATTTTCCTAATTGATTTCCTCCTAATATAATGTATTAATTCTCTATCGGGCCCCACCCCATTAACCTCCTTTCTTTCCTTATCCAGTCCTATCGTATCAGTGTTCCTTTGTCTTCTATGTTGAGTCTCAATAAATCCTATGCACTTTGCATTACTGTGGAGGTGGTCTTACTTGCATTATAGTAAGTCAAGACATTTAACTAATCATATGACATTTTTCTTATATATATATATAT